TCCCCCGGGGGGCTGCCAGCCGGCATTGTCCGGTTGACAGCACCCGGAGGAGGCCCAACCTGTGTGATCTTTTTGGTTGTTGGGAGGTAAGTGGCAGGAGGCGGTCTCTCAGGTAGCCAGGTCCTAAACCATGTAGGGCTTTAAAAGTAACGACTAGCACCTTGAAGCGTGTCCGAAGATCAATGGGGAGCCAGTGCAGCTCGCGGAAGATGGGTGTAACACGGGTGTATCTAGATACACCCCATATCGCTCGCGCGGCTGCATTCTGGACCAACTGTAGTCTTCGAACACTCTTCAGGGGCAGCCCCATGTAGAGCGCGATTTCATGACCTTTTTTGCCACAGTTAACTGAATCACTGCAGTTGTTAAATGGATCATGTCATTTAAACAAATCCAACTTCCGCTATTATTCCTGCTTGTTGGAGCTGACTGGAAAGGTCACAAATGACAATCACATGACCCTGAGATGCTACAACCATTGCAAATACACACTGGCTGCCAATTGCCCATATTTTGATCATGTGACCCATGGGAATGATGTGATGGTTGTAATTACAGGGACTGGTTGCAAGTCAATTTGTACAATGTCAACTTTGAACGGTCGCTAAATGAATGGTTGTAAATTGAGGATTAACTGTAAGATGGATACAAATTGATCCAGAAAACCAGTCTGAAGAGCAGAATAAATCCAGAGAAAATCTTCAAGATTCCACAATCTAGTATAGATTGAATATGGGAACTTCAATATATTGGTGATTTATTGCAATCTTTAAATGAAATGAAACACTGGTACATCAGGAGAGCATTTACCAAGAAGCTGAGATTTAAATATTAGCAAGATAAGCCCTGACATCACATTTGGCCAAACAGTGTTTTCTGAAATGGCATATAAATTCATGTATTTTTTTGTATTTTTTTTGTATTTGTATTTGTTTATTACTTATAGGCCGCCCTTTTCCCTGAGGGGTCTCAGGGCGGCTCACAATTTATGGGGAACAAAAGTAACTTTGTGTAAAAAGCATGCAAAGCTAAGATTAAATGAATAATTCTGCCAGTCAGTTTGCGGGCAGGGACCATGTTTCTTTTCTTTTTTTCAATTAAATCTCCAGCTGAAAATATGTATAACTTTAATATAATTAGAATGAAGATATTGTGCAGATGGACACATTTGAGTTGCAATGTTGCAGTTCTGCATATGCTTATTTGGGAATGCACTGTCTTTTAAAATTAAGTGGGATTTCTTAGCAGACATATGTAAAATTTTATGGGGGAAATTTAGTTCCGATTTATGTGGTGTAAAAATTAAGTTGTAGTATCTTGTAACAATCACATAATATTTGCAAGGAAAAACTTTCGATAATTTCGTAGGGTGTTATACAACACAGTTATCAATTATTTTGGGGTTTGAATTATTTTTGACAATAAAATATAGCATATGAGTAATGTTATAGACTGAATAGTAGCTTTTAGATGCAATTAAATTCATTTCAAAACATAAAATACATCTGGGTGAAAGAGAAATCATTATCTACCCATTTTAGGATCTTGAGGTGACTGCTGTGACCTAAATTTCAGGCAATTATTGCAAGGTATAAAACAACCATAGCTGTAATTAATAACATCTGTGCATTATTCTGTAGGATAATGAGGTCAACTAATTCAATCCAGGTCACATGGAATGGTATACTAATCAACTGTGGCTTTTAAAATGAAAGTAGGGGACAATTTGCTAATATTCAGCTGTACTAATTTCAGTGGAATGTAAAGACAATCAACTTCAATTTATTACCATTTTTTTGAGGGAGACACATCTGACTTATACTCTGTCCTCCTCTAATTATGCTTTACATTTTGAAAATAAATGGTAAGCATCACTTACCTTGGCAGTGTTCCTGTTTCTCAAATGAATGACAAATAAATATACAAGAGATTAGATGGATAGAACAGAAGAGCAAATAAAAATGAAAATATCAAAATTATATTATATATATATATAATCTGATTAATAGGATGAAAAAAATATTTTCCAAAATTAATTTGGGCATTTTGCCAAAAAAAGCCTGGAAAAAATGGAAGGACTTTATGAAATGCATGGGGAAATATTTGTGCTCAATTAGAAATAAAAGAAAACAGAAATAAAGAAAAATTGTGTCTATAAAAGCACATCATGGGACTCTCACTAAAAAAATGAGAGAAACTCCACTACACCTGGTGTGTTGTACATGCTGACAGAAGGGTTGTTATAGACGGCCGATTCCCCGAGCAATGTGTTATAAGGGTTGTTAGTGCCATGAGGACGAAGAAGAGCATTGGTTATAAGATGGTTAGCCATGGCTCCTGGAGCAGCCAAGAGAAAGACAAAACAAAACAAAACAAAAAAGCAAAAAAAAGTCAATCAGGCAAATTTGAATTAAAAAAAAGAAAAGAAAATTTTCAGACTGACAACAATTTAAACAGTCCTGATTAAAAGCAGCCAGTTATTTCAAGCGGCAAGCTAAATGCCATCAAAGCAGACACTGCCGACAATGAAGACAGAAATGGATTGCGGTGATGCAAAACCAACTTTTAAGAATGTAAGTTGAAGAGTTACTCTGCATGCTTGCCACATTCAAACCTTGTGAGAAACTTGGTAGAAAAAGCCAAATAAATAAAGGGAAGACAGCCAAAACAAAATGGCACAATTAACACCATCATGTTAGTCACAATTTTTCTTCAGAGTTCTCTAGGTTTAAGGCAGAATTATTTAGGATATTCAATTAATAGCACAAAAAGTAAAAGAAAAGATTGCTTTAAGCAATAATGCTATAACGTTCATTGTCCTTTTCTAACAGGACATCCCCTAGGTCAGCTTGTACTTGGTGATGGTACAGGAGCTTATTATATCACATTCAGATATTAAGGTTTCATATTCCATATTTACAGTTCTGTTCTGTTTCTTTTTTACAAAGAACTAACTCTCAAACTTGTTAGTAGCCAAAATTGGCAAATTTTCTTGATTGATTGATTGTGTGCCATCAATTTGTTATTGACTCTTAATAACCACAGAGATAGATTTTCTTTACGATGAACCTTGTCTTTGAACTCTTCCAATGGTGCACTCAACAAGGCCCAATTTGTATAAAGACTACTTTGCTCTTGATATAAAGTAATCCACCCAGAAATAACACCCAAAAGTTATTTCCCTTCTTTATAATTCAGCGATCACACATATGAAAACCCTTATCTAGAGAAATTAGATTCCAGACAAGATTGATATCAGCAATTAAAAACAAAAATGAAAATGTTTTTGCCCAACATGAGAGTAAACAAGCAAGTTCCAAAGTCGGCCTAAACAAACAGCCTGATTAAAGATTATTGTCTTGTGAAGCTTTCCTTTATTTTAACTGAGTTGGAATGGAAATTGCCAAACATTTCAAGAATTGCTGTTTTTTTTAAAAATGGATCACCTTCTGTCAATGATTGGCACAAGATGAGATTCTGACATAATTCCAGGATGCTGGCCTTGTGCAAGAAATAATTCTGCAGGGCCAAAAACTGATTGATGGTATTTGTTCTGATTGCAGGCTGTCCAGTTGACCATAAAATGCTATAGGAACTATAGGAGAGGAAAAAATGGTGACAATAATGATATAAAAGTATACTTGTACAAGGCAAACCTTTGAGGTGGGCTCTGCTATGCCAATGTTAGATATATTATAATAGTACAAAAAATTAATCTGGAGAAATGCTCAGTATTTTGGCAAACCGGACAGGCACCTCTTTTCCTTTGCCAATGACTATGAAAAAAAGTGAAGGCATCCTTGGTGCTGCAATTGGAGGCCAGTGAAAATGGGTATGTTATTATTAATTTTTGGAAAACTGGATGTCCCTCTACCAAATTAAAACCAAGCAAATGGAACTCAGGTATAGAATTTCCTTATTGGAAATATCAGCTGACCATCTATAGGAAACTTAGTGCCTTCTATTACCAAATAATTGTAGAATATTAACTTGCATACCAATAGCATTTAGACTTATATGCCGCTTTATAATGCTTACAGCCCTCTCTAAGCAGTTTGCAGAGTCAGCATATTGCCCCCAACAATTTGGGCCCTCATTTTACCAACCTTGGAAGGATGGAAGGCTGAGTCAACCTTGAGCCGGTCAGGATTGAACTCCTGGTAGCCAGCAGTGAGTTAATCACTGCACCACAATGGCTCCTATCCATGCATATCCCTATTAACTTAATTTGAATTTGGAAGATGATGTTGAATTGAATTTGTAGCCCATTGTTCTGTTTCATTTAACACTTAATGCATCTTATACCGTAATAATAAAAATACAGAATATAACTATATTAAGGCAAATGAAAATAATATCAACATTAAAATCAATGAGTGATGTGCTTTTATCATCTTTCTAAATCCTGGAAGAAGGAAAGAGTTCCACAGCCTGGGAGTCAAAAGGAGAAGGTTGTTTCCTGCAAACCTGAACATCAAACTTCTGACAATGGGAACATCCTCAGAAACTTCCTGCTGATCAAAATAATCTTTTCCCGAGAACACAGGATGGTGTGCCTAAGGCTCCCTGATGCAATTTTGTATTCATAGCAACAAGCCTGTGAGATAGTGACTATCCTAAACTCACACAATAAGCATCCATGACTGACGCTTGAGTTGAACCCGAGTCTCTCTGCTCTTAATTGCTATACCACACTAAATGTGGAACTGATGTTTTTTACAACATTGACAAAAGTTGTACAGTTTTAAAACACCATGTTTTAAACTACCTTTTAAAGTAAAAATAATTGCTTTTCAGTGTTTCATTTTGAAATTAATATTCTTATTTTAGCCTTAAAAATTAAGCTTAGTTGCCAAGATTTACCATATGTGCCATTTTCTATGGTGATGCAAATCATATGATTACCAAGTTATAATTTATAAATCTAAACATACTCACTTCCCACCTTTCTTTAATTTTTAGGAAACAATGATTTAGGGCAGACTCCCCAACCTAGTCTCCTTTACAATGAGTTGGATTATGGCTGCCATCATTCTTAGCCAGCATAGCTATTCCAAGTTTAGCAGGTTGGAGAAAGTGACTTACAGTAGCAATATGCATAAAATATGATGGAACTTGTTTGGATAAATACTCATTGCACTGAGAATAAAAACTCATTAATGACTTCCAAATGTTCAAACCATTTCTGCTTTAGGATGAAGAAAGAGAATATTAAAAATTATTTCAATACACATTTTGTGCACTAAAACAAGTGTAATACTAGATAAAAAAAACAATAACATGATATACAGAATACAAACTTGAAAGGGACCTTGATGGTCTTCTAGTTCAACACTCTGCTTAAGCAGGAGACCCTTATACTATTTGGGATAAATGGCTGTCACTCTTTAGAAACCTGCAGTGATGGAGCACCCACAATTCCTGAAGACAAGCCATTCCATTGATTAATTGTTCTCACTGACAGGACATTTTGCCTTAAATCTAGATCGGATCTTTCTTTGATAAGCTTCTTGTCCTACCCTCAGTGCTTCGGATAATAGGTCAACCCTCTCTTCTTTGTGACAGCCCTTCAAATATTGGAAGATGGCTATCATGTCACCCCTAGACTGTATCTTTATTAGACTAGACATACCCAGTTCCCGCAATCATTCATCATCACATGCTTTACTCTCCAGTTCCCTAATAATCTTTGTTGCTTTGTTGCTCTTCTCTGCACTCTTTCTAAAGACTCAACATCTTTTTTTCATCATTTTGACCAATGGACTCACTATTCCAAGGGTGGTTTTACCACAACAATATAAAGCAGTACTAACACATCACATGATTTATATTCTATCCCGCTGTTGATACATCCTAAGATTGCATTGGCATTTTTGGCAGTTGCAGCTGATCTGCTGTACTTTTTATAGTAAGACAATCTGACTATGTTTACAGTAATTACCTGAATACATATAACCAAAATGCATGGGGCTTGGATGGGAAGAAGTCTGAGCAATAGGAACAAAAAACTCTCAATTTCTAGTATATTCTTCATATTTTAATATCTGTGTTATCAACTTTAAATGAACAGAATAATTTGTTTAAGGGATGTTCATGGGCCATTTGTGCTATCAC